CCGCTGCCTACAGACCGTTACCTGCAGAACAAGCTCTTCTTCCAGCCGGTCAGTGCTATTGATTCTTTCAATGGAGTTGTTTGATCCACTGTATTCAAAGATAGCTCCCTGGATGTTGATTTCCTTCTTTGCCATACTTACAACAAAATTTCCATTCAGAAGGAAATTCCCCTGAGTGTCAGATAACGCTGTAAAACAACACAAGGTAGTTCATGAAACGGTACATCCAGCAAGCAGGATGGCATTAACTTTCTTCACTTCTGAAATCAAGCTCTTTCCTGAATCTAAAGAAAGTAAATATAAACCGATGCTAAGGAAACAAACTACTTTACTGCACCGTGGTCTCTAGTCTGCAAGTAAGAAAACTTCAACACAGCAGCCAAATGTATGAAGACAGATTCACCCCACCCTGTTGTATTCCAGAACCTCCTTAGAGGCATGGAATGGAAAGGACACACAGGAAGAGGAGAAGCAAGGGGAACCAGCACCCAGAGCTCCCCACCAATCAGTCATCAACGAGAGAGCAAAGAACAGCCCATCTGAATTCCATTTATGTTTAATTTGGAACAAATGTGCAAAGCATTAGATTTCTAAGCCCAGATTTTTAAATTAAGTTAGCCTTTTGACAATTTCATACATGGCAATGATGCATGTTGCTTACTCTCCTCACTTCTGCCCTCCCAATCCTATCCTTTCCCACTCCCCACTAGTCCTTTGCCCTGATTCATGACTTTTGGGTTGTTTTTGTGGCCTGTTTAACCAGGGACATCTATTTGACCACTGAGATGAGATCAGAATAGTATCTTAAAACACTAGTGGTATATACCATTCCTCACAGAAATGTCCATAGCTGTTCATAAAGAGGGTCTTGATCACCATTGATATGTATGACTGTTTTCAAAATAACATCCCTATTTTCCTTTCAGTTCATTGCCCTTTTTATTCACTTTCCTACTGAAAAAGAATTGATGTAAGCCCAATGATCATTAATATTAATCAACTTGACCATATCTAGAATCACATAGAAGGCCAGCTTCCCAAGAGGGACTATCTGGAATAGGCAAGCCACTTGCCATGCCTGAGAAGTCATTGTGATCAGACTTACTGAGTTTAGAATTTCCTAACACTGAGCAGCAGCATTCCCAGGGCTTGGATCCAGTCTGCATAAAAAGTCTGCTAGCTGGGCATAAGCAATCATCATTCCTGCCTTCTGACTGTGGCTCGAAGGTCACCAGCTTCCCTGAGCTCCTATTGCCAGAACCTTCTCTTCATGATGGAATATACCCATAAAACATGAGCCAAAACAGACTCGTTTCTATTTCATTTCTTGTGTCCAGGTGTTTTATCACAGCAAAAGCAAGATGCCTGTCATACATGTAAATATATATATATATATATATATATAT